GCTTGCAAACACAAAGAGGCCTCACGAGAAGGCCCCAGGAGGCCCCAAGGGACCCCATGCGCCCATACGATTCATGGGATTGCATTAGGAGGCGTCCAGAAGGCCCCAACTTGTATTGTTTTTTTTATACCGGGGGGGTTTGGATGGGCGGGCGCGGGGTGTGCGCCGCATCCCATTCCTGCCAAGCATTTTGCGACGTGGACGACAGGACGTCCATGATGAGAGGAAAAACGTTGGTGCGCGGCGCCGAGGCGAGAGCGACATGTCACCCCTTCGCGCGGGGTGTGCGCCGCGTCCCATTCCTGCCACGCATTTTGCGACGTGACGACAGCACGACCATGTTGACAAGAAAAAACAAAAACTGTGTATTGTCTTTTGCAGATTAGAATGGGACGGATTGGATGGGCGGGCGCGGGGTGTGCGCCGCGTCCCATTCCTGCCATGCATGCGACGTGGACGACAGGACGTCCATGCGACGGTGCCAATGACGGCGACGACTCTAGAAGGATTTGAGCATGCGCTCGCGGCGACGCGCGCGCATGTCGCCCGCGTGGCATTTGTTGCGCAGGATTCGCGGCCTGGGTGCATGACAGAGCATCGCGAGTGCACCGCGCGATGACGTGAAATCGCTGGATTTGACCGAATTCTTAAGATTCCTATGGTTTTCCTATGATTTCAGCAGGAGAGCCCGGGCAGGAAATTTGTAGTTTTTGTGTGAAAAAACATTGGGTTTTTGATGTTTTTATGTTGAAATGCTTGCGAACACACGGTGTTCGGTAGGATTCTGACATGAACGCGCGCGTGTGCTCTTTGTGGTATTTTTGGCAATGGATTATCGCCGTGGACGACAGGACGTCCATGTCGAGAGGAAAAAAATAAGAAACATGTTGAGTTTGTATTGTTTTTTACAGATTAGGATGGGACCACCCGGATGGGGCCCCTATCTGCCGGCCTGAGGGGGGAGTAGGAGTATATTCTAATAGAGAATAAGGATAGGAGTAGGAGGAGGAGGAAGAGGAGGAGGAGGAGGAGGAGGAGGAGGAGGAAGAGGCGGCGGAGGAGGAGGAGGAGGAGGAGGAGGAGGGGGAGAGGAGGAGGAGGAGGAGGAGGAGGAGGAGGAGGGGAGGGGAGGAGGAGGGAGGAAGGGCGGAGGAGGAGGAGGAGGTGGAGAGGGACGGGGAGGGGGGGAGGGGGAGGGGGAGGGATGAGGAGGAGGAGGAGGGAGGAGGAGGAGTGAGG